ACTGGTTCTCAAGCTGTATTTGCAGTGTTTTCTCTCCCATGGGCTTTCTCCCTCCCTGCAATAAGCTGCCAGTTGTAAAACCATCTCCTCAGTTCATCGCTTTCCAAGCACCAGCTAATCTGGGTGATGTTCTTTTCCTGTCTTATTAAAGGGAGTAGCCAGCCCTTCTCTCCAGTCTTGTATGAATGAATGAGTCCATGAGGACAAGGGTTGGGCTGTGGAGCTTCCTCTTCTGGTAGGCACACGGAGGTGAAGAAAAGGAATGTGCCCTGTTAGCCCTTTTTAAAGACTTGCTTGATTTGAAAAGGAGGAGGACTGGGCCTCTGTGTGGGTCAAGATCTGCTGAGCTGCTTTTTCTCTGATGGGCCTTTTGGACCATTTCTGTGCCATGACACAGTGCTTGGGTAGGTGTCATTATCCATCCCCAAGCAGGCACCATTGTGCAGTGAAGCCTGTTAGTGCAGGTCACGGAAATTACAGAAATTTTGACTGCTAAAGGAGGTGGTCACTTCCAGCAGCATGATCACAGGAAAAAAAAAAAAAAAAAAAAGGAAAGCTTGAAGATCATTTTCTTCTCTACATTGCCACATTGCTTTTCGCTTACCTTGCATGTGACATCTGTGGCCGAGGTGTTGTCATATTTCTGGTGTGCTGACATAACATTTGCCTGCTTTYCTCTGCATTCTTGTAATTAACTCCTAATATTAAAGCAGTTTCCGTCTCTGGATTCCTCAGCAAGCTGATTGAAAGGCGATTTAATTGCACAGCWTTGCCAAGAAACATGTTAGGTGATTGCTGGCTATAGTAACAAGTAACGTGAAGGTAATAGAAGATATCACAGGGAGTAAGATTTTGCTGGCCATTAGCAGAGGTGACTTCAAAAAGCAAATGATAATGAGTGTAGATTTCACTGAACCAAGTTTCCATCTGCTGCTAGTCACTGGGTTTTGAGCTGCTCTCCTATTAAAGATTTACATGWATGTTCCTGGATTCTTGATGGAAAGGACACTTAGGGGAAAAGGGTATAAATCAACAAATAACTGTGTAACCTGCAGAAATATAAATCTATGTAGATTAATCCGTGTTTCCTAAATTGCATACTAGATTGTAATTCAATCAAAGGGTAGGGGTCTTGTGACGTTTATGAACATTTATGGATGGTATGAGTGCTCAGATTAAATGTCAAACCTGGTATTCAGTTTAGAATCACGTATTATTGTTATTCATTAATATATAAAAACAACAATTATATCCACTAAAATCCTCAATTTAATTTTGCTGTAATCTGTCTCTGTTGTGTCAGAGATGCAGTGCAGCCACTTTGCCCCCWCAGATCATTTAAAGGGCTCCACTGAATTGCAGCTGAGCCTGCTCTTTCCCCCCAGCATGGCACTGGCTCTATTTGGCCCCTTGGAAATGAGGAATTCTATAGTAAATTATTTTCTTTATCTTCCACTGGAATTAAATTTCAGTTTTGATACTGAGAAGGTGTAGTGCACCCAGAAGGGGAGGAGAGACAAGACTGCATCTTAGATCCCATTCACTGAGTGTGTTACACATGTGCCCCTCATTGGTTCTGTAGCAGAAAAGGGTGAAAATGCTTTGAGGCAAGAGCAGTCATTTTAGGATTATCTGAATTCACTGTCAGTCCTTCAAGCCTGATTCTTCCCAGTCTGGGGCTGAAGGAATAACACTGCTCACCTTGGTGTAGTGCATTACATCAGAGAGATCCTAAATCACTTGGCATAAATGGAGCGGAATCGCTGTCCCAATTTACTGCTAAGAACACACTTGAAGCAGGTTAACTCAAGCCTTTTAGTGAATAAATTGTAAGAAGCAACTGAATGCCAATTGCAAAAATGACTTTGGCACCTAAGATGTTAGTTTTGTTGAAAGGAAGCAATGCTTAAGCTAACAAAGGTAATATATTTCAACATGGTTTACAGCCAAAATTCTGCTGACTTTCAAAGGACTTCAACACCAATGCCTCAGTCACTTTTCAAAATTGTAGTTGGCCTCATAAATCTATTATCTGCTTATGTAATGTAACTTATGTCAGTGGTTTACCACTGGTTTTCTCCATCTTAGCTCCCCATAAATAGAAATTCTTCAGTGTTTAGGAACCTCATTCTCATTAAACTTAGGAGGAACTAGATTCCTAAATAGCCTTAACATTCAGACCTTGCTTGCCTCTTGGTCTTTGTGATTTAAATGGAATTTATTCACGTAGCGAAGAAAGAGAGCAGAATCTGATCACACTGAAGCAAAGACAGATTTAAGATTAGCCCTTGGCTATTCTGTCCAATGGCCATAACATCTTCCAAGTAATAATGATTAATTAACACTAGGAATTCAATATAGAAAAAGATCAATGGATTCCATTTGTCCATTCCACCAAACAGAGCCATACTTGGTTGAAAACAAACGACATAAATAGAGACAGGTAATAATTCTGTTTATAACACAGAGACCTGCGGAAAACGGTCAGCTTTCTTCGACTTCATTTTCTTACGTTGTTATATAAGAATATATCTTGAAGGAATCTACTGTATTAATCTAATGTAATTAGGTTAAATGTCTCTGGTGACCAACAGTGCCATATGATAAAAAGTTTCACCCCAGCATTTTAATGGTTCAGATTCTGCTCATTGTTTCAATTAAGTCAGCATGATTGCACAGGGCAGTGAGAACAGGATTTGGCCCATTTCTCTCGCACATACGTGTTCTGCAGTTATCTAACCTGGAATGAATCATAACTTCCTCAGATACATCTTCTTTTTCCAGTACTTTACAAGGAARGTTTTGTTTTCCTATATTTTCTTTTGAACAAAACTGGTAATCAAGTGTCCAGACCAATTGCAATCATTTTTAAAAGTACGATGTTTCAGTGCCGGTGATTTTGCCAGATTCTGGCTTGCAGCTTCTAGTAGATTGTGCCTGTCTAAAATTGCCCTACAGTTTTAATTAGGCAAAACAATCTTGTTCAYTTCTTGCAGCAAATTTGATGGTTGTTTTAAGTCATTACTCAGCATCTCCAGAATCTCAGGCCATAATTTGTAGAATTCTTTGGCATGCATGTTGTCAAAATTGCTTGACGCGTTTCCTTACGAGACCTTGTTTTATGCTGCTTATAACAGAGCCAAACTCTAACCTCAGCCTAAAATTTTCCATTCTGTGTTTGGGG